GGAGCCATGGCTTCCCCAAGCGCAGGAATGCAGTGCGGTTTTTCGGGGGGCCCGGTGGCCTTGGGCTGCCGCGGCCTGGCGTGCGGGGCGAACGGTGTCCCGAGGGTTTGTCGGGCTGGGCTGTGCCGCCCGGTGCAGACCTCGCCGCGGCCTGCGGTTGGTGTTAATGACCTCGGAGGAGGTTGTGCGAGCCGAGGAAGACCGCGTTGCTCGGGAGCAAGCATCTGTTTCTTCATCACGTCAGCCCCTTTCCTAACGCCGCGGAGCCTGTCGTGGCTTGTTTCGGAAATGCCGAGGCCAGTGCTCACCCCGCCGGGTGGGAGAAGGGAGCGAGTGGGCACCGGACAGCCCCCTCCCGCCCCCAGGCTCTGCGGTGCTTCTTTTTTTTTTCTTTTTCTTTCTTTCTTTTTTTTTTTTTTTGCAGAAGGCCGGGGACTGCTTGCAGATTTTTGCACCTTCCCTGACTGGAATGACCTTGGGGAAAGGATTGTGTTTCCGAGCGCCTCGTGGTGGCTTATCTGTAGATGGAGGAGAGACTACTCTCTGGACTGCCCTGCCTTTTGGGGCTATTGTGGGTGGGGGTGGAGTTTGTTCAGGATATTTCTTTTACCTACTGCTGTGGTTCTGGCCTCAGCAACTGGACTGGTGACAGAGCCGGGAAGAATTCAGATCACCTAGGAAGATTTAACCGCTCCAGATTAAGGGAGGGAGGGGTTTGGATTTTTTTCTTTTTAGGAGGGTATTTCCTGTCAGAGAATCTGTACACTATGTTCCAGATTGCCTTCTGTCACTTTGTGTGCAGCTGTGGTGGCATTTGTGTGGTTAAATTGAATAACGCCATAGAAAATTCTTCTCTTGTTAGAAATAATTGTTTTGCTCAGAATTCCCCGTGGGACAGATTAAGGTTTTGCTCAGTTTACTCAGAAGAATTTTCCAGGTTTCTAAAATTAAATCACTTTTCTAAACATAGTAACTGAAGATTGAAAAACTGGAAATAGTGGAATGTGGAGGGAATGGATTGTAGTATAAACAAGGCAGTAAGGTAGAGATTCATTGTTGACCAGTTAATAATATGGGTTGTTGGGCTGGGAAGGTGGCTCAGTGGTAGAGCACTTGCTTTGCATGCCTGAGGCCCTGGGTTCGATTCCTCAGCACCACATAAACAGAAAAACCTGGAAATGGTGCTGTGGCTCACGTAGTAGAGCGCTAGCCTTGAGGTGAAAAGCTGAGGGACAGCGTTCAGGCCTACAACTGGACCTCCCCCCCCCAAAAAAATAATATGGGTTGTTAACTAGGCTTTTTTGATTACTTTTTTTTTAAATTTTAGTAATTTGATACCAAGAAAGAGAACCATTGTTGAGTTGCTACTGTCTGCCCAATACTATTGCTAGGTGGTGGTGGATATCTTTTTATGTGTGTGTGTCTGTATCTATGTGTAGGTCTTTAATTCAAGGCCTGGACACTGTTCTGAGCTTCACCCTCCCCCCCACAGGCTAGTGTCTAGCACTTGAGCCACAACTCCACTTCTGGCTTTTCGGTGGTCAGTTGGAGATGAGTCTCATGGATTTTCCTGCTGGGACTGGTATTCAGCAGTGATCCTCAGGTCTCAGCCTCCTTAGTAGCTAGGATTAAAGACATGAGCCAGCACCTAGCTGGTGGATATCTTAAACTGAAGGTCAGAAGCTAAAAGACAGATACAACCAATAGAAAGTAGAGCTGAACTGTCTTGGTGCTAGTGTCACCAAGGTTGGAAGCCAATCCCCAGCAGAAAAGTCCCTGAGACTCTTTTTTTTTTTGGTTGGTTGGGCTTGAACTCTGGGCTTGGGCGCTGTCCTTGCGCTCTTTAGCTCAAGAGGAGTGTTCTATGGCTTGAGCCACAGCACCACTTCTGTTTTTCTGGTGGTTTATTGGAGATAAGAGTCTCACGGACTTTCTTGCCTGGGTTGACTTTGAATTGTGATCCTCAAATCTCAGCCTCCTAAGTAGCTAGGATTACAGGCGTGAGCCACCTGCGCCTGGCAACCCTGAGGCTCTTATTTCCAGTTAACCACCAAAAAGCTGGAAGTGGGGCTGTGGATCAAAGTGGTAGACTAGCATTGACCCGAAAAGCTTAGGGACAGCACCCAGGCTCTTAAGTTCAAGCCCAAGAACTGGCATTAGAAGAAAGAGGGCTGAGATGTAGCTTAGTGGCAGAGTGCTTGCCTAGCAAAAGCAGTGTCCTGGGTTCAATCCCTAGTATCAGAAAAGAAAAGATGAAGAAAAATGGAAGAAAAAGAATTAAAAACAAAAAGCTCTTAAGAAAACAGGAAGTGGGGCTGTGGCTCAAAGTGGTAGAGCTCAAGCCTTGGGTATTTTAGCTCAGGGACAGCACCTAGCCACTTAGTTCAAATCTGTTTTGAGGGTCCACAGTTATTTACACTATGCATGCTGCCTTGAGAACCAGGAAATGTAGTTTCTTTTTCTTTTTCTCTTTTTGTTGGTCGTGGGGCTTGAACTTTGGGCCTGGGTGCTGTCCTTCAGCTTTTCAGCTCAAGGCTAGTGATCTACCACTTGAGCTGCAGTGCCACTTCTAGTTTTCTGAGTGGCTTATTGGAGATAAGAGCCTCAGGGACTTTCCTGCCTGAGCTGGCTTGGAACCATGATCCTTAGTTCTCAGCCTCCTGAGTAGCTAGGATTATAGACTTGAGCTGCCAGTTTTTGATTCAGTCCCTGTGTTGGTCTTTGTGGACCCTAGAATAAGCTATTGAAGTTTATTTCTTGGTGTTTTTGCCTTTTTCCAGTAATATTGTCCCTATGCTTTTGAGGTATTCTACTTTTCTGGTAGACATACAAGGATTGGTCAAGGTATATCCCTTCATGCAATAAGTGTTTAATTTTTTGCTTATGTTAGAAGGATTTATATTAAAATACAGAGTACCAGGATCATGTATTTCTTAACAAGGGGATAGGTAGCTAGTGAGCCTTCCACTGTAGAGGCCATCGTTAACGTATCATTCATAATCAGAAACTGAACCAGTTTTCATGTAACAGCATTTTGGGACAGTGTCAACTCACAGTAAAGCACCAGATAGTCCAGGCTGAAGTATCTGCTATAAATTTATACACATGTCAGATGCTCAGTAAATGCTGAATGAGTATATGTGTGCATTATTGGGATATAATTTATGTTCAATATAATCAACCAATGTTTGGTGAGCTTTGACAAATGTCCTACCACTATCATTTATTTATTTATTTATGGGGCTTAAACTCAGCATCTTATCCGCTTGTTGGCTTTTCTTTTTCTTTTACTTTTTTTTTGCTGGTTGATAGAACCTTGAGCATTTTTCTGCCCTTGCTGGCTACCACTATCTTTTAAATTGTTATTTTTTTGGGAATAGGTAGCAGATTGATACCAGGAATGTTAGGAGGTTCCAGTGCTCTTCCAGTACCAGTGGATACTGGAGAGTCAGTGTACCAGCTTTGTAAGAATCAAGGGAAACTTAGATGTTTAATGGTGAGGTGAATTAGCAGAATAGGAGAGGGAGAGACACATCTCATTGAGGGCAAGTTTGTGAGGAAGTACATTTTAGTCACTTTAGTTACTTTTAGGCAATAGGATATATATTTTTGGGGAAAAACTACAAAAGATTTATTAAGGAGTTGAACTTTTTATTTTTGTCATGGGGCTTGAACTCTGGGCCTGGACACTGTTCCTGACCTCTGCAGCTCAAGGCTAGCACTTGAGCCACAGCTCCACTTCTGGCTTTTTCTGTTTATGTGGTGCTGAGGAATCGAATCCAGTGCCTCATGCGTGCAAGGCAAGCATTGTCCCACTGAGCCACCTTCCCAGCCCAAGAAGTTCTTAATATGATTAGCATATGTCCAAATAATTAAAGGTGAAGATTCTGTAAAATGGTTGTACCATCTTGTAGTGAAATATCTTTAATGTTAATCTGTTGTTTTAGCTGATATTCCATAGAGGGAAGAATATGTAAGGTAGAATTTGTGGCTTCCTGGGAGAACACATGATTATTTTTTTTCCTTTCTCTAATTTCTTTAGTCACTGAACCTGACCCATTTGCTTTAGTACAAGTATCTATTTCTTACTTAGGAAATGCTTGAAACTTTTGCTGTAGAGTTTCTAAAAGCCCC